ATCTCAATTGTAATCCCTGTGGGTTTCCCATCACCGAGTCACCCGAGTCACCCGTGTGCCATCACCATAGTCCCATGCACTTCCCTCCCCTCCCCCAGCCTTTTGATCCCATTCCCCACGCCACCCCACAAAATGTCTCTGGTATATGGCTGTTCATTATTCTTATTATTTTCTCACCTTGGCCCAGTTTCTTGGAACTCAAAAGGGAAATGGGGAAACAAATAGATCCCACTTTGGCTTTTCGGATAATTTGATGGAAGGAAGAAAAATGGTGTCATGTTGCTCTGTCACTCTTAAGTCCTAGTGATGGTGTGAAAGAGAAAAATAAGCCAAAGCCTCATTTTCTCACTTTGAAAATGTGCTTTCCTATGATCACTAGATAAAATATTCAAAATCTAAAATCAGGTTATCATCCTTTTGCTCCAAAAATATTTTAATTTGAAGTGATGCAAACAGCCCTATCTTCATACACAAGAAATATCAATATATGTATCTTAGTTCAAACTCAAATTAGCATTCTTCAACAAACAGTAGGCCTTACCATGTTTTCTGTTTCTTTATAGGATTTAATAGCTATTGGCCTTTGCAATGTTGTCAGTTCATTTTTCAGCTCTTGTGTGTTTACTGGTGCTATTATCAGGACAATTATCCAGGATAAATCTGGAGGAAGACAACAGGTATGCTGAAATAGAATTTGATCTCTAATATATAAAAATATTTATGTCTATTCATATGTCTATTCATAGAAAGGAATTATATTAGCTAAATCACATTGCTGTTTTAAAGTTATGTTATACATTACATTTAATGTTAATGTTTTTTGGAAAAGACCACTTGGAGGAATTTGGATTCCATACTTGCCTTAAGTTTTGTTTAAATTTTGTCTTAAAAGCTATCTGTCAGTTGGAACTGGAGTCATTTTCTATAGATGTATTATTTCTTAAAATAGGCTTTGATATATTAGCCCCCCAAAACCTATTTTTTCCATGTTACGTACCTATAAGATAAACTTTCAGGTAAACTAACCTACACCTACTAACCTTTTTTTCCTATGGGAAGTTTTTTTTTTTTTACATAATTTGGATAGAAACAACTCTCTTGAGCATCCTAGTAACAGAATTGGAAACTTTTCTGGTTTCTGCGCAAGGGTATGGCAAGAGGCTGTCACGACAGAGTAAGATCTTGGTGTAGATGGGCCTAGGAATTTATGACCATTCTACCTTTGTATAAGAGAAAAATCTCTAGACCAGACTCTCCTCAGATATTCTGAGTTTGTAAACTAAATACATGCGTGGGTGGAAAGGAAAGGGGAAAGAGACATGTTGTAGTAAAGACTCTAAACACAAACTCTGTCTAACTGCAGGCATGAGATCTTGTAAATTTAATGTTTCCGGTTTTGTGCTGACTACATAGAAGATAGTTTTACAATATGATTAGATAAAAGATAATTGTACATCACAGCTATATAGCATGATGAAATGTCAAAGGACTATCAGAACTGAAACTGAAGTAAGCCCAGGGAATGGGTCAGGGTTCAAGAGGCAGAGAAACAGTGGAAGAGAATGAAGAAAAGCTTCAGCCACAGAAAGGTGGTTGGAGTTTAGCCAGGGTCTAAAACTGATATGTCAGAACAATGACACTCAGCTTTAATAGGGAAAGATAAAAGAAGTAAGCTGGGTTATATATATAAATATATATTAAAGGATGTTCTATGCACGTGTGCAAAACCTTTGAAATCAAAATGAGAGCATGAGAGCTTTCTAAGAAATGTAAATAGCATTTCTGGACATTCATTTCTTTTCTTTTATTGTTATTAAAGTTGATACACATTCACTGATGGGATTTTTTCCCACCACCATCCCTTGTAAACTCCTTGTCCCTTTTCTCTCTCTCTCCCCTCCTAACCATGGAGCCCTCAGGATGTTTGTTGATGTTTTTTGAAAGTGTTTTTATATTGTCAAACAGTTATGTGAATGTCAAATATTTGCTCTTATCATTTTGACTTACTTTGCTGCACATAATTCTCACAAAATCCCTCCATTTTGTTAAATATGACTGCATCTCACCCTTTCTCATGGCCACGTAATATTCCACAGTATATATGTACCACATCTTCTCGATCAATTCAATGTTAAGGATTTAGGCTATTTCCAAGTCTTTTCCTAGCTAATTTAAGTAATGCTACTGTGAGTGACATGGAGTACATAGGAATTTTTTTTAACTTTTTTTTAATGTTTATTTCTGCATACGGAATTGGGGTACAGGCCAGAGGGGCAGGGTCGGCAAAAGGATTCACCAGAAACAGAGTGAGGAGCAGAACAGGCAGATCAATGAAGTACACTGCTGAAGGGAGCAGGGGACAAGAGAGGAGAGATCTGCTGTGCCATGTGGTCACCTCCAGGGCCAGGGGTCAAACTTGCACTGAAGCAGCTGTGGCTCGCTTGCAGTGCTGCACTTTAACCAGCTGCACCACCAGGGAGGGCCCATAGGGATTTTTTATTGATGGTTTCATATTCTGTGGATATAGGCCCAAGAGTGGGATTTTTAGTTTTCTCAAGATCAATCCAGATTGTTTTCCAAAAAGTTTCACCAGTTCACATTCCCAGTGATGTAATAGGATTCCTTTTTTTCCTCATCCTCTCCAGCACTCTTTTTAATATGTGCCATTCTCACAGGTGTGCGGTGATAGCATTCTAGCTTTAATCTGCATCTCTTCTATTAGGATGAACATTTTTTCATGTCTTCTGGCCTTCTGGAGATCCTCCTTGGCAAATTCAGATGTTTTTCCTAGCTTTACACAACATCATTTAATTTGGAAGATAAGCGTAACATAAATTCAGGGAGAAAAGATGCAGACAGTAAAATCAAAATCATGGTGTGAAGAAAATTAAGGGCAGGCTAAGTACATAAATTAAAATTGCCACAAATATTGCAAGGAAAAGAATGATGGAGGAATTGGGACTTTTATGGACTTTTTAAAATTATTATGATATATTTTCCAACATTGTTCATTTTTGCACAGTGTTTGCTTTCTCCTCTCAGGTGTGGTCCCCATAGAATTCCCCCCACCAATTCACCTGTGCACCACTGCCATAGTCCCTTGTGCTCTCCCCTCCCTCTTTTTATACTTCTCTTTCCCCTCCCCTGCAGAATGCCTCTGATTGATAGTTGCCTGTTAATTTGGTTCATTTATTTACTATTTTTTCTGATCCATTATGTTTTCCCTATATTCCTCCTATCGATGAAACCATCCTATATTTTTCTTTTTCCTTCTGATTTATTTCACTGAGCATATGCTGTGAATGGCATGAGTTTATCTTTTTTGATTGCTGAGTAATATTCTATTGTTTGTGTATGTGGTGTGTGTGTGTGTGTGTGTGTGTGTGTATACCACATCTTCTTGATCCTGACATTACTTTGGTGCATTTGGACTGTTTTCATATATTGCCTATTATAAACAGTGCTGTAATAAACATAGGCATGCAGGTATCTTTTTGAATTACTGTTTTTGTGTTCTTTGGGTAGATTCCTAGGTAGAACGGAGTTGCTGGGTCAGATAACAGCTCCATTTTTAGTAGTTTGAGGAACCTCCACACAGCTTTCCATAGTGATTGGACCATTTTGCATTCCCACCAGCAGTGTAGGAGAGTTCCTTTTTATCCACGACCTCACCAGCATTTGTTGTTGCCTGTTGTTTAAAAATGCGCTGTTCTCACTGGTGTGAGGTGGTATCTTACTTGTGGTTTTGATTTGCATTTCCCTTATTATAAGTGATGTTGAACATTTTTTCATATACCTGTTGGCCATTTGCATTTCCTCTTTGGAGAAGTGTCTTTTTACATCTTCTCCCCATTGAGTGGATTGTTTACTTTTTTATTATTTTATTTATTTATTTATTTTATTTTTATTTTTGTTGAGCCCTGTGAGCCCTTTGTCCCTTAACAGTTGCATGGTGTGCAAAAATTTTCTCCTAATCAATAGGGTGTCTCTTTGTTTTGGTTAAGGTCTCTTTTGCTGCACAGAAGCTTTTTAGTTTGATGCAATCCCAGCTGTCTAATCTTTTCCCCACTTTCTTTGCTTTGGGGAATGAATCTTAAAAGATATTACTGAGATGTATGTCATGTAGTGTTTTACTTACATTTTCTTTTGTATACTTTATGGTTTCAGGTCTTCCATACAGGGCTTTTACCCATTTTGAGTTGATTTTGTGCATGGTGTGAGGTCGTAGTCTAGTTTCATTCTTCAGCATGTGATTGTCCAGTTTTACCAGTGCCGTTTATTGAACAAATGGTCCTTTTTCCATTGTATATTCTTTGTGTGGCTTTATTTCTGGGTTTTCCACTTTCATGGAGTTTTGCAGGAGGGCTAGGAAGTATACACTTGGAGGAAGGTAGAGAGGCTTAGTGCAGCCTTTTCACCTATGGGGCTAAGAGCCTGCCTCCAGGGTTTTATGCTGCTGCATTATTCTCTTGAGCAGCTGGCTCCCTACATAGGCATCTTGTTCTAGAGGGTGACCATTCGCAGGGAGTCATTTCCCTAGTGACGCAGTAAACCCATCCCTGAAACCTTTATGTGCCCAGTGCGATTTGCTGGTTCAAGTGGAGAATGTTGGTGACCCCTAACTCTATATATTGAAGCTACCCAGCCTCCACCCTAAGTTTTTGATGTTAACTGGCAAGGACCTCTGAGACTCATTCAACTTCAGCAACTTTCTTCCTCTCCTCACCCTTCTTGGGGTTTTTGATTCACTCTGTCCGAGAACACCCCCTCTCTTCAAAGTTCTGCAGCAGGACAGGAAAGAGAAGCTAGGTGCTGAGCCTCTTGTTATCCAGGGCCATTTTATTTTATTTTACCTGGCTTAAATACAGACTATGTAAATGTGGTCAGATTTTATTTTACCTGGCTTAAATACAGACGATGTAAATGTCAGATTTCAGTTTCAATTTTCCCCATCTAGAACAAGTTGCTTCACTGGTTGCAGCAAAATTTCTCAGCCATTTGAGCCATGCGCTGGGCTTGAGGTGTTGGCAGGCCTGTGACACAGGGGGATGTGGAGAGCCCCAAACTTGTGGTCAGACTGCTCCCCACTCAGCCTTCCAGCACATCCAGTTTTGACCACTGTGCTTCCAGTTCTCTGTGATTGGGTTCCCTTCCTAGTTCTCTGTTTTCCAAAGATTTGCCTCTTTGCCTTATCTTTAGGGTGCCAGGAATGCTGAAAAATTAGTTGCTCTAAAAGAAAGAAATTATAAAAGAATGAAATACATTGTGTTCTTTTTAGTGAATACAGGAAATAAAAAGCCAAGATTTTGGAGTCAGATGGTCAGGTAGATTAAAGTCATGCCTTCTAGCTGTGTCACCTTGGGCAAGTTGCTTTTTCTTTCTGAGGCACCCGTTCTCATCTGTAAGATGGGCAGAAGACTGGTCTTCCAGTTGTGAGAATTACACTGAAATATAATAGTGCCCTTACATATCTGTCACTTGGATATTCCTACTCCAGGTTCTTAGTGGCCTCCCTGGTACTGGACAATACTACTTCATGGAACGATTGGGGTCTATGGGTCTGCCTGTCCATAGTGGCTGGTTGTGGGAACTCACATTGTCTTGACTCCCCAGAGAGAAAGAAGAATGAGTGTTTGTTTTTAAAAGCCTGAAAAAGTGATGGGAAATTAGAACAGGAAAGCAAAATATGCATGAGATACAAAGTTCTACATATTTGCTGCTTTTAGACTCCGGCACTGAGTCTGAGACTCCTCCTAAGACACACGCCCCCCAATGATTGTTCTCTGACCCTAAACACCCTACTTTGGGTACAGGCAAAGTGGGGGACACAATTTATTGTTAGCTCCCTCAACTCTTTCTGAATAGCAGCAAATTTTAGGAAATTCAATTTCTGGTTTGTCCTCATTTTACTCTAGGTTTTACACAACTTATTTTAACATTTGCATGTCTTTTTCCCCTTATAAATGATCACATGAATTTTGGAAGAAAAAAAGTAGTTGAAAGGAAAAGTCCTGACATATTTCCTTGTGTTAATCAAAGTGGTGTTTTGTTTTGTTTTTCTAGAGTGCCAACCCTTAAGTTAGATCCAGCAACAGGCGGTTGTGTATATTGGCAGGAGGAGTTTATGATCTCAGTTTCCTGTCTCAGTTCTTCAGTACATAAAATGTTAACCATTGGAACTCCTGAGTTTCAGTTACAGTGATCCATTTTTCCTGAATTGTTCCTCCCACACTGCTTCCACAGCACTCGCCCTTCCCAAATCGCAGTGCTTCTGTGAATTGTGTATCAGCTGGGATGAGAAAGAAGGAAGTCAATGTCTTCTTTGACTTCATTGTTGTATTTTCAGTGATGCATTTATAAAGCAATACCAGCCATAAGTGGTGAGAGGGAGTCCAGTAGGAAGTTATCCCCTCCCTACCATGCCAACACCCAAGAAATAAAGAAGAAAACTAGAGAATCATTGCTAAGGACCTTCCCCCACACACACAGTTTTTTTTTTTTTTAAGATTTATTTATTTATGCTTACAGAACTGGGGTACAGGCCAGAAGCACTGGAGTGGGGAGAGGATTCACCAAAGAGAGTGGGGAGCAGAACAGGCAGATTGACAAAGTACACTGCTGAGGGGAGGTGGGTCAGGAAGGGTCTGCCATGCCATGTGGGTCATCTCCCTGGCTGGGGATCGAACTCATGCTGCAGTGGCTTCATAGAATTTCATAACATGGTGCTTTAACCTATTGTGCCATCAGGGAGGGCCCTGCTAAGGACCTTTTAATGATTTAGATTTGAGGGACTCTTCCTGTTCTTGTTTGTATATGCCATTGTTTTGATAAATAGTTACAGCTTTATTCGCCATAAATCTCCCTATCACAGTGGAAAATTACACTGCTTTATATTGCATTATCTTACTAGTTGGAATTTAAATGAAAAAGTATGAGTAGAGGAAAGAATGAATTCAAGCCTATGCCCAGAGCACTTTGAGATTGTAAAGGGGACTTTAGTTTCTACCTGTACTTGCCAAATCAGACTCACTCCTTACCAGGTCACTTTGGGTAGTCAGTGCAATGGGATAGAAGCCAGAGCTGCTGCAAACCATGATTCATCTTTGTAACTTTTTGTGATGGCAATGAAGCAGAGCAAAACTGAAGCAGGAAAATCAGAAGTGATTATCATTATATTTTTAAGATGAAAGTTCAGTGATAATGTTCAATGGAAAGCTAGCCACGCTCTAAAGGAGAGTGGGGGCTGAGATAGTTTGGGAAGTTGGATGGTTGAGATTTTAGGACCAACAGTGAGGACTTTTTGTAGACCCTGCTCGAAACTGCAAGAAGGCGTAGGAAGGGAATGCAAGTAAAATTTTAGGAGACTAGATTCACAGTACAACACCGTGGCAATAAGATTCAAATACCTAAGGCTATTTGGAACTTTTCAGAAAGCATTCATGTATTCATTCAATAACTGTTTATTCAGGACTCATTCTGTGTGCACCTTGACAAAAGCTGAAAATGTCAGCTCAACAAAAATGCACTTAGGCTGAATGATTACACTCAACTCCTTTTAAGAAAAAAAAAAAAAAAAGGCACACATCTCACCAAGCAAAAGGCCCCAGCTTCAGCTGGAGACAGGGACCAGTGCATTCCTGATGGTCTCTCTCCAACTGGCTCTGTCTCCTCAGTTTGCATCTCTGGTAGGCGCAGGTGTGATGCTGCTCCTGATGGTGAAGGTGAACCACTTCTTCTATGAAATGCCAAACGTAAGTAGAACTGATCCATTACCTGAGTTAGAAAGACTGGCTTCCCACTGTGCGTGCCGGTAGGACATTCTCTAAGGACAACTGCACTCAGCTTGTCTCCAGGCTTGCCTCAGCCCATTTCTGGTCCCTTTGCTTTAAGATGGTAGCATCTATCTCATAGAATTGGGAGATACTGTGTATAGAACGCTGAGAATACTGTTGAGCTTCTAAAAAGCGTTCAAGAAACATTAGTTTTTATCATTATTCTCTTTCTCATTCATCCTCCTTTTGTTGCTGAAGCTATATAGCAAGGTTTATAAGTAAGGATTCAGTCTAAAACGACCAAAATAGACTTCAGATGCCAGAACGCCCATTACCAATCCAGGCTTGGAAGCTCATCGCTCATTCATGCCATCTGTTTCCTAAACTGTTTCCAGAAGGCCTTGTTTTGCATCCATGTGAACTCAGTCCCCCTCTTGCTGCCACACTGCCTCTTGGTTAGCTCATAACACTAAAAGCAGGATCTGAAAACTGAATTTCAACTGTGTTGAGCTAAGGTGCCCCATGTACCTAAATGCCTCTTCTTCCCTTTGGCTGAGACCCTTGTCACCTTGCACTTAGAGATGTGAGGATCATGAATTACCGGCTATAATCAGTTTGTTCTAAGTTGCATATAGATCATTGCTCAGAGACCACAATTTCCTCTATGTTCCCCTTAGCCATTTTGAGAGAGCACAATGGGAGATAGGAAGAGGCTTCACTCGGGGGTAGCAGGCTGGCCACATGCTGAAGCTGGAGAAGTTACAAAGGTTATCCGCATCCTTTTGAACACATCTGTTCCACCTGGTGAATATCAGGTTTCATTCAGGCAGGACCACTTCAAGGTTGATGCTGCCTTCTGCTCTTGTGACTCAGGGGCCTTGGAGCCCAGTCACAGAATCTTCATAGAGGGTGGGATTGAGTGTGTGCTCACCACACAAACCATCCTCAGATTCCAGCAGGAATCACCTTGGCAATATAGTTTTTACAGCATGTTGGAGCTCCAACTTGTAGAGTCTGTTTTTGGAGGGTAATTTACTAACTTAGTTTGAACAGTGTTATATATATATATATGTATATATAGCAAAAATAATTAGAATTTTTTAATGCCAAACAAAGAAAAATTGGTCAGAATTCACTGAAGGGAAGTTGCAAAAGTTGGTAACATTTCCTTGTTATAAATATGTAAAGAACAGAACAGCCCTCGCTTTTGGCTAAACATGATAGATCACTTTATTTTTACCGCATCCAGTTTAGGACATTTTTGACAAGATGATGCAAACACAGCTTGATCAGAGGAATATCTGAATTAGTATAAGAGTGGAGTTCTGTGAGTCTCAAACCATGAATGAGGCCTTCCTTCCTTGAGAGGCTGTGGATAATTTGTTGCAAAACCTTTATTGGAGCAATTGGGGAACATCCTAGCAAGCATCTCAACTTCTTAGCAGGGGGGCCAACACAAATTTTGAAAAACAGCATACAAAATAATATATTCAATATCGTTCCAATTTTGTGGAAGAAAATATAAAACATGCCCAAATGTTAGCAATGGTTATCTGTTAGCTAATGGAAATCAGGGCTAAGTTTAATTCTTCTTTACACAGCTAGTATGTTTTACCTTAACATTCAGAAAAGTACAAATTTTACTGCAAATTGTTTTTGTGAAAAGATGTGTCCCCTCCTCATAATCCCTGCCTCAAGACAAAAATCTGGCAAAATTCCTACGAAGGCCAGTGCATGTATTTGATTAGACAGTCAGTGGAAGTGTGGATGTGACGTTGTTACAGGCTATCAAAACAAAATGTTGTATTGGCTTAAGGTTGGCTAGTTTTCTCTGGTTCTTTGAAAATGTGGGCATTTTACCCCCAGAGGGAAATGAAGCAGGGGTTCTCTTCTTCACAGGCTGTGCTGGCTGGTATTATTCTGAGCAACCTCGTACCCTACTTTGAAACCATTTATAATCTACCCAGTCTGTGGAAGCAGAACCAATATGACTGTGTGAGTACTGAGGCACCCGCCGAAGTGGGACAGGACAGCAGGGAAGGATGGAGAGACGGAAAGAGAACAAACGAGAGATCAGCCACAAAAGGACATGAAGGATTGACAACTCTTAGATGCCTAGGACCCTATTTTTATTTTAAAAGATGGAGTCATGATTGTTAGGGCTTGAAAATATTGTGATCTCACTCCAACTATGCAAATCAAATAAGAGGAATGAAGGGGTAAAAGTTATATACAAATCTGGTAAAAAAAAAAAAATTGAAAGTTTGTTACATGTTGCATATTTGAAAAACTTTAATCCAGTTCACAGTGACTACTTCCCAGGAGAGGAGAGACAGATCCTAAAAAAATTAAAAAGGAAGGGCTGTCTTGCCAGGCAGAGTAATTGATGAAGCATTCTCTTTTTGCTTGGAGCACAAGGCTAGAGGATATAAATAGGAAAGAGCTAGAAATAAAAGATAAGAGAGGTAAGATGATGAAAGGAAAAGGACCCAGTGGATACAGAAAAATATGAAAGAGAATAATTTAGGAGCCAGGTGTCTGAGGAGCTAAAAGGGGATGTGAGCTGGTGCACAGGTAGAGATTCTGGCCCTAAAAGGAGAGCGAGCACTTCCAGCAGGACTGAACCAAATGAGGGAACATTGAGTCTAGAGTCTAACAAACCAATATATAAGGGCGTTTTGACCTATCTTCTCTGTGAGAATGCAGATCAAGTCACCTGCTGGGGTAGGGGCTTGAAAAGGATGTTGAAGATCCCCAATAACTATTATAGATGCTAAAGCAGCAATTACCAGTTGCTGGGTGTTCTGGGTTGCCTTGTAAGTAGTATTTCTTACCTCACCAAAACTTAGAAAGAAGATATACATAGCGCTATTTTGCACATAGTGAGGAAACTCGAGAGAGACATGACCAGGAACACATCAAAGAATTGCTAAGGCAGCCTTAGGACCAATGTTGGAGATGAAAATTGCCACAGGGCTATGGAATTTGTTCTCCAAATTGCAGGTGTCTAGAGGGAGAGGGTGAAGGTGAATTAAGGGATAGGATTGGTGATGCCTTCAATTCTGTTTGTTTTTATGGTCTTCCTTTTCCTCCTTTTCCATAGGTTATTTGGCTGGTGACATTCTTAGCTGCACTTCTCCTGGGACTAGACCTTGGGCTACTCATTTCAATAGTGTTTGCTTTCTTCATTGTTACTGTTCAGTCACACAGGTAGTTTGTCTCAGGTAATAGGTTAGCCATGTCTAAGTAAGGTGACTGCGACCTAAAGACAAGTGCGTTTCCTTTCAGAACTAAAATTCTCCTGCTGGGCCAGATCCCTAACACCAACATTTATAGATGCATCTCTGACTATCGGGAGGTAAGAACCTAACTCAGTCCCATTCCTTTGCCCAGGGATGGGATGGGGTGGACCATCTAAGCTTGCTGCTTAGTTTTTCTACACAAGTCCCTCTGTGGTTTGCTGCACTTCAGAAGTACATTTACATCTATGACGTATGGGAAAGTGATGTTTGATGGTAGAAACAAGTAACTTAAATAGGTAAATCCTCATCGTATAGCAGCCAGTCAGATGTAATATTGAATAGTATTGTGTCTGAAGAACACACACAAAAAGAGACAACTAAAAATTAAAAATAAATTAAAATAAAAAAAAGATAACTGAAGGTGAAGGAGGGTGGGGGAGAAGAAGAGGGTGGAGTAAGGGAGGGGGATAAGAAAGCAGGAAAAGCAGGGGGTAAATGGGAGGAAGGAATTTGCTAGTTGTTGCCTCTTACAAAGAAGAATACAGACTCCCCAAATTCGAGAGTTTTTTCTCTCACTCCATAAAGGAGTTGAGAAGTTGCCCTCCACCTTGCCTGTGCGTTGCAGATTATGACCATCTCCGGGGTAAAGATCTTCCAGTGCTGCAACGCCATCACCTTTGTAAATGTTCACCACCTAAAGCACAAGCTGCTGAAAGAGGTGACGCTTTCCTCCCCTGCCTTTGCTCCCCTGCTTCCTTCCCTCTCCTCAAGTATCCCCCTTCTTTACTACTGGCGATCTAAAGGAGACTCCACTAATCTGTTTTCAGGTTGAGATGGTAAGGGTACCACTTAAAGAAGAAGAAGTCTTCAGCCTGTTCAATCAAGGCCATGAGAGCTTCCAGAGAGACCAGATTTGGAGGTGTTACTGCAACTGTGATGAGCTGGAGCCACCGCCCAGGGTTGGGGACCCCTCTTCTTTTCTGTACTTCTTTAAATAGGGCTTACCTAGTTAAAACCCACACTTTATGAGGAAGTGCACTAGTAGCTTTTCTACAATATATTTAAAGATTGATTTATTTATGTATACAGAACTGGGGTACAGGCTAGAGGTGCAGGGGGTTGAGAGGATTCACCAGAGACAGTGGGGAGCAGATCAGGCAGATTGACTGAAATACACTGCTGAGGGGAGCAGTGGACAGATCAGGAGAGGTCTGCTGGGCCATATGGGTCAGCTCCCCGATGGGGGTCAAACTCTCAGGGCTGTGCTTTAACCTGTTGTGCCACCAGGGAGGGACCTGTCCTAGTAGCTTTTTAAGAAAGTAAACAGAAAGAAAATCACCCTTCGCCCCCCAGGAGTGTTGACTTGTAGATGGATGTAGATAATCAGAAATGAAAGATTCCTACTCAGACATGAGAACATAGGTTCCCCCTTTGAGTCCCACATCTTGACCTTAAAGTAGGTAGGAGGAAATTCCTTTGAATCCCTACTATGACTTTGACTTCTGAGTGCACAGCATGTGTGCTGACTTTTGAGGCTGTCAGCAATCCCAAGCGGCACCTGTTTTCCTAACCTTTAGCTGCCTGGCTTTAGATTTCTGAAGTCAAGTGATGTTGGGATTGGACTCTATTTTTTAAACTAATTTACTCATTTTTAACTAAGGTAATATGGAGATACCCCCATCAGGTATTTCTGCCATAGGGCACCCACTGCCAGCTCTCCCATAATCCCCTGCCACAGACCTTTGTGCTTCCCTCCCCCACCCATGCTCTTTGTCCTCCCCCTTCCCGCTTGGTGTCTCAGTTCTGTAGTCAGCTAACAAGGGGTAGTTTTTCAGCTTGTCTTTTATCTGACTCTTAATTTATTTATATTCTACACACTAGTATCACCATCCAGTATTTTTCCTTCTCTTTCTCACTTACATATCTTATTGTTATAGGTTGTATTCTACTTCCATCTAGGGCAGAGGCAAGGTGGCTAGGATTCGAGTGTCTGCCAGGGTCCCCTGAGGTCTCCCTGTGATCAAGGGCATGATGAGGGAGCGAGGGGTGAAACAGGGTAAACATAAATAGGGATTTTTAGAGCATGCAAAGGTTATTTTAGGGGATGAGTTCATTATTTCCAACTCAAACTTGGTCTAGCTACTCCCTTCCCCCAGAACAGGGTTGCTCATTTCTGGTTCTTGGACCTTTCATCCAATCTACACCTATAACCTGGAGAGACTACACAGAGAGAGGGAAACAGAGATTTACACACACAGTCAGATGTGTCTCTTCCCCCTCCTCACACAAGCAGTAACAAACACTCTGGGTCCCATATGCCCTAATAGAGAGTAGGTTCTACAGAGTTCCTGAAAATACCAGTTCCTTTGCCAAGAGGATAGAAATAACACCATACCTCATTTTGGCTTTGTATTCACATGGCACTGAGCACTATAAAGGGTGATTACAGGATAGGATAGTCAGATGGGATCCTCTAGTGTTTACTGAGCTCCTTGTGTAAGTCCAGAGCGATAAGAAAGAGAAAAGAACTTTAAAGGGTCTCTAGCTTTAGGTTACTATGTTCTTCTTTTCCTTTTTTTTTTATTATGGTTTGAAAAATGTACGACATATAATTTGTCAACTTACACATTATTTCCTGCTACAAATAGTATTTTTTTTAGCTTAACTATTTTTTATTGTATGTTTCAGTAGTGTTAAGTATATTCACACTGTTGCACAATCATTGCCACCATCCATTTCAGAACTTTTCCATCTTATAAAACTAGAACTCTGCCCATAACAGCCCCTGGCAACTACTGTTCTACTTTCTGTTCTTTGAATCTGACTATTCCATATACTTCACAGAAGAGAAATCATAACAGTATTTGTCTTTTGTGGTAACTGACTTACTCGCTTAGCATAACATCTGTCCAGGTTGTTCTTTTTTTTTTTTTAAAGATTTATTTCTGCATACAGAACTGGGGTACAAGCCAGACATGCAGGGGCAGTGAGAGGATTTACAAGAGACAAAGTGGGGAGCAGAACAGGCAGATTGACAAAGTACACTGCTGAGGAGAGCAGGGGGCAGGTCAGGAGAGGTCTGCCCACGCCATATGGTCACCTCTGGGGCAGGCGGGATCGAACTCATGCGGAAGTGCTGTGCTTTAATCCGCTGCACCACCATGGAGGGCCCAGGTCGTTCTTTTAAGAGAACCTTTTTTCCTGGAAAATACTGAACATACACAGATAGAGACAAGTATAATGAGTATATATACCCACCACTGCCTTAAAGTTTATCATTTCATTCTCAATCTTGTTTCGTCTTGTTTTGTTTCATTACACTCCCACCTACCAGTAATCCTTTAAAATCACAGGAATATGTTGAAGCAATTCATGGATTTTCAAGTCAAACCAAGGAGTGCGCACTCTATCAATGTGACATGTAAAGCTGTATTCTATCAGTCCTCAGACGTACATTTTCCACATCTATGATATTTGGATGCATTGTGCAACTGAAGGCATTATCATACTTTAATCTATAGAATTTTTTTCTTGATAGTCCAAAAAAAAAAGCAATCCATCTTAAAATTGACAAATAGGATAGTAAAGTATACATATCTCTGTATCCTGAACTGTGTGATTAGATTGTAACAACTATTTCAGGCAAAGCAAGCTTGACATGTCCTCAAAAAGTCAGGGAAATTTCAGGGTAGCAATGGACTTTAATTGGGTAGTCAAGAGAAATTTGGATGAATCCTTACCCTTTTTACATTTGCCTTATAATTCTTGTCCTGGTGCATATTTATCCCTTGAATGGGTATGTGCCCTCACCCCAGGTAGACACTGGGTCGCGGGAGGAGCTGGCACTCACATCTTATTTGCCATTGCACCCTGAGCATTTCATGCTGCCCTTATATTGTGGCAGGCCCCCCAGGTCCATAAGGAGCATGACAGGAGTGAAAACCCACTCAAGTAATTTTTTAAGGCAGTCTGAACAAAGACTCTTGCACCAATAAAAGGACTAGGTATTGAGAAAAGAAACTGATGGAAGTAATATTTCGAAGTATCAGCAGGCACTGGAGACTACATCAAACCCAGAAATGAGGGAAAGGAATCCGTCAGAGGTGATGCTCTACGTGGCTCACTAGGAAAATTAGGTTATTGATATACAGGGGAAGAGCTGGAAGGGGGACACAGAGAGGTGAGGATAAGGAACAATGAATTGGTTCTTAGTGAAGAGCTTGAAGTGACAGAGGTCCAAGGCAACAGAGTATTGTACTTAAAGGGGGGGACATCCCAAGAAGGAGAGATGGTGAATGGATAGAAACAGCACAGTGACAAGTATTTCCAGCCCTGGCTTGTGTCTTATCACCATCCCCTCTAACACTGTCGTCCTAGATTGTCTACACAGAACGATTCGAAAGTAAACTGGGCCATGACACATCCTCCATTAATCTGATCCACTGCTCACGTTTGGGAAGCATGAACCTGAGCGAATCTTCATGTGAAGGACAAGTACCGTACACGGTCTCTTCCATGTCCCAGAGAATTCCAGGGCAACACTATGAAGATGTGGAGGAACTTTGGTTTCCTAATAACGCCTCTAGAAAGAGCTCCATGCCACTTTCTGCTCCAGCTGAAAGTTTGATCAGGGACAGAGCAGTGCTCGCCCCATACTCAGGCGTAGGTCTTCAGTCTGCCATCCACACCATCATCTTGGATTTTACCATGGTGCATTATGTGGATTCACGGGCTTCCGTCATATTGAGACAGGTGAGTAACGGGAAGAAGACCCCCTCCACCTCCACCACCCCAGCCCCGATACCGACTGAATCCTGCTGGTTATGGATCACTTTCTATGTGACTCCTAGATGACTAGAAATTTGGACATGGAAGATAGTTTCAGGTTAGGCGAAATAAAAAAAAAATGAACCAATTTTAATTTTATGAACTGGAGTTGGTTCCCTAAACATAGCACATTATTTCTCAAGGAACGAAAAATAGGAAACACTTAACACCACTGAAACAGCAATCTGTGCCACACAGTGTCTCCCAGTATAACCTGGAAGTTAACTACAAATCTTTTCAAGGAATAGAATCGAATGTGAAATATATATATATATATATATATATATATATATATATCACCAAGAATTCTCCCTCAGTTAGCTGGTTACACTAGGCATTGTAAAAGGCATTTGGATTTGAAGAGGTTGTGATGAATTGGCACCCCATGCCTGGGGCTGCCTCTTCCAGTACCTGGAAGAATGTCCCCTCATTCCCTTTTCATTACCTGCATCTTTCAGTGAAAAGAGCAAGGAAGGTTTTCCCTTCAAAAATTGCATCTTGGAATCCTGGCTTCCTTCCTACTTTCGTGTTTCTTTGACAGTTTTTATTTATTTCCTTCTTACACAAAAGAATTCAGATGCACAAATAACCATATTGGCTTTATTGTTTAATGTTTCATGAGTACAATATCTTTTTTTTTTTAGCCAGTTTATCTCAGTTCACAGCTCCCTCTTGCTCCTGTGGAAACTTCCTGTACCCTCATTTCCAGATTCTGACTGCACCCTCCTCTTTCTTGAGATAAGCTCCTTCGGCTGACTTTCCCTCTTCAGCTCTTAAAGGACTTCAAAGAAATAGGATTTCCTCTTAAATGACTCCAAATGCTGTTCATTGTGAGACAATAAGAAGCTTCAATCTGGGGCCCTCCCTGGTGGCGCAACAGGTTGGAGTGCAGCATTGTGAAGCTATCGCAGCTACTGTAGCATGGGTTCGGTCCCCAGCCGGGGAAGTGACTGAACCCATGCAGCAGAATTCTCCTGAATCCATCCGCTGCTCCCCTCAGCGGTGTATTTCAGTACATCTGCCTGTTCTGCTCCCCGCTCTGTTTCCGGTGCATCCTCTCACCCCCTGCATCTCTGGCCTGTACCCCAGTTCTTATGTGCATAAGTGAATAAACCTTAGAGAAAAAAAAAAAGAAGAAGAAGAAGCTTCTCTCAGCACAAAGAACTGAGGTTGGTGTTCCAGACTGTGCGCTCTACTCTGGTTTTACTGCTCTCACTGTCCCTCTTACCAAAGGCAACTTAGTAAATAGCAAGGGTCTTGACTTCTGTTCCTATAAAATAAGAGGCTTGGAAGAGCTCAATGTGATTAATGTGAGACTAATGAGATCCTTTCCTCTCAATCCATTTTCAGACTTAAATATACTTGATAATGTCTTTTGGGCTTTTCTATCTTCAGTTACTCACTAGATTGTGTTCTCTTTCTTTCTCTCTCCCTCTCTCTTTAAGATTTTATTTTTTTACTTTTGCATCAAAGAGTCCTCTGGCCTAGACTGTGTTCTCTTGTCCAGCACTGTAGCTGTTCCTTTCATTCAGCCTACATAGTTGAATGCCTACTATACCTGACTGAATTGGGCACATTTGTATTCACTCCCTCATTTAATTGTCACACCAACTCTGAGAGACCAGCTGTACGTCCCCCTAAGAGTGCCAGGCTCATAGCTAGCAAGTGGCCAGTCCATCATAGGAACTTAAAGCATCTGATTTCATGTCATTCTTCTTCCTGACATACAGGACCACTGTGCCACCCTCCCCTCCTCTCTCTCCTCTCTTGCCTTCCTTTTTTTGTGGAAGCACCTTGTCTTCCCCTTCTTAGCACTACTCACCTGTACTTGACCTATGTTGATGACTCCCCTCCTGTCTCAACATGGAAGCAGTGCAGGACACCTTTACTTCACAGCTTTCAGATTCATGGAGCACTTTCACACCTCAACAATACAGGTCTTTCCATTTCTTTGGTGATTGTTCTATTCAGCCTTATTGGAAGAAACTGTTCTGTTTCATTGACTGTAAAATTGAAAACTTAAACCTACTTTTAAATCCTGGCAGTTTTTCTTTTTAGAGACAAGCAACTCATACTCAGTTTATGCCTCTTAATTTTCGGGATTTCATGCTCCCATTGCTTGTCATGTAGAGTCTGACCATCCTTCATGGCTCTTTACCATATGACTTTATGACTGACCATATGGTCAATCACTTTCTTGTTTCTTTTTGGTAGTGGAAGAAGTAGGGTCTTGTCTGTTTTTTTTTTTTTTTAAAGATTTATTTATTTATTCATACAGAACTGGGGTACAGGCCAGAGATGCGGAGGGTGAGAGGATTCACCAGAGACAGAGTGGGGAGCAGAATAGGCAGATCAACGAAGTACACTGCTGAGGGGAGCAGCGGGCGGGTCAGGAGAGGTCTGCCACGCCATGTGGTCACCTCCAGGGCAGGCGGGGATCGAACTCATGAGGAAGTGGCTTTAGTTTCTCAGTGCAGTGCTTTAACCCGCTGCGCCACCAGGGAGGGCCCGGGTCTTGTCTGTTTTAATTGTCTCTTCTGACATCTTCACTTAGCGCTCAGGGGTGGAGCCCAGCTTGATCCTAGAATATTAAAGTTAACATGGATTTACTTTGAGATGAATATCAAGATTCAATGCCCTAGGGGTTATTTATATTGCATATATATTCGCTAAAATAAACTTAAGGTCAGTATCTGATGTTTACTAACCAGATACCAAATATCTGCTATTTTACTGGAGTCTAGTGCAAATTTGCAGGAAAACTTGAGCATGAACCTCGGGGTTCCATTCCCTACTATACCACTTGACCATCTCTAAGCCACATTTTGCCTCCTCTGCTCAGTGAATTCTGAGTAAGGAGGTCACATGCACACACTAAATGACAATGCCAAGGCACAGTTGTTCCTTAGGGCTCTCCAGTGTGTTCCCATCAAACTTAGTGCCTTCCGACATAGACATGTTCTCTTTATGGAAACTGCTCCCCCAGCTTGAAAGCAGAGATAATCCTCCTTCTCACTCCCCACCCACAGAGACCATCTGATTCTTTTTATATTTCTAGCACTTTAGACATTTCCTGATATATAGAAGGTCACCCATCAAATAGAGTCAAACTGGAATGCAAAGGTACATCTACATATAACAAGCAAGTGACCACAGGGGTGTGAAGTGGGGCTCATGAGGAGTCCTTTCCTAGAGAAGGTGTGGGTCTCTAACACTGATTTACTCTCCCCCCACAGATGTGCAATGCTTTCCAAAACGCCAACATTTTGGTGCTCATTGCAGGGTGTCACTGTGAGTAGTAGCCTCCCCTGGTAAGGGGGCTGTGTTTGCACCCCGGGCACTCCCCTTCCTAGGTGTCTTACCCTGGGTGTGTTCTGGGTTTGGTTTATAGCTTCTCTGGTCAGGTCATTTGAGAGGAATGATTTCTTCGATGCTGGCATCACCAAGTCCCAGATGTTCCTCTCCCTCCATGACGCCGTGCTGTTTGCCTTGTCCAGGAAGCTTACAGACTCCTCAGAGTTAAGCGTGGATGAATCAGAGACCGTCATACAGGAAACCTTCTCAGAAAAAGACAAGGTCAGAGGATAATAACCATGGGGGAAGAGTTAGGGGAAAGTAAGGTGGGGGTACACTTGATCAGATAGAGATGGCTTTAAGTATGGTTATGCTAGACTTTGAGGTGTTGAAATACTCCCTTACCTCTTAGTAAATTGCAGCAGACCTGAGTCCCAAGTTTCCTCACTGTCATAGGTGACATTCAGGACCCTTTCCTAACTGAAGAGAAGGTTACCCAACCTGCTCAAGCTTCCAGGATGTTTTTACAGCAAGCTTGGTTACGGTTGCCATGCCAGTTATGAAATAAGTCAATATAAATATTGAATATTTAATATCAATATCTTCACATATATATATTAATATTTAAATGTAGATACTTGAAATATCTCCCTTAGATCTACCTATAAAAACCCTGGGAATTGGGCCCTCCCTGGTGGCGCAGCGGGTTAAAGCACAGCACGAAGAAGCTAAAGCCGCTTCCGCATGAGTTTGATCCCCGCCTGCCCCGGAGGTGACCACATGGAATGGCAGACCTCTCCTGACCCGCCCGCTGCTCCCCTCAGCAGTGTACTTCCATGATCTGCCTGTTCTGCTCCCCACTCTGTCCCTAGTGAATCCTCTCACCACCCCTGCACCTCTGGCCTGTAACCCAGTTCTGTATGCACAAATAAATAAATCTTAAAAAAAAAAAAAAAAACCCTGGGGATGATTGAAAACACTGATGAATTAGCAGAGGTAAAAATCAGTCAGTCTAGCCCTTTGGTCATTATTTACATTGTGAATAATACGAGATTTATTTATTCAACCTGACCAAATGCAAAGGAGAATGATGAGTAAGTCAAAATTTTTAATTATTGGAATACCAAGTAAAGACCTGGGCATTATTTCAGTGTTTTCAAATCAGTATCTGTAAAGGTTAAAAGTTTCCTAACAAGGGGCTCTTCTCGGTGGCACAACAGGTTAAAGCACCACATTATGAAGCTCTAAGAAGCCACTGCAGCATGAGTTCCATCCCCAGCCAGGGAGCTGACCCACATGGCGTGGCAGACTTCTCCTGACCTGCCCGCTGCTCCCCTCAGCAGTGTGTTTCAGTACATCTGCCTGTTCTGCTCCCCACTCTGTCTCTGGAGAATCCTCTCACCCCTTGCACCTCTGGTCTGTACCCTAGTTCATAAGTAAATAAATCTTTAAAAAAAAGTTTCCTAACAAAGGGGGAATTGAAGCAGATGGGCATCAAAATAATGCCTACTGACTGGAACTTATTTTTACATTATTTTATTATAGAAGTTGCCCTGTGTGGTAGTAATTTTCTAAACTTTTTAAATTAAATCCCTGATTCTTTAACTTAATATTCTGTAACTCAATAATGTTTTAAATTTTTCATGATAAGGAAAGTCTTATCAAAGTAATAAATGTGTGTGTGTGTATGTGTTTTTTTCAATGTGTGTGTGTGTTTTAAACAAACTTGGAGAGGTAGGGGCCTGCCTTATAGTGCAGGTGTTTAAGTTTCAGAGCTACAAAGATCTCCACAGCCACTACAGCATGAGTTCAATCCCAGGCTAGGGAGCTGACCTACATGGCACAGCAGACCTCCCCTCAGCAGTGTGTTTCAGTTAATCCAGCTGGTTCTGCTCCCCATTCTGTCTCTGGTGAATCCTTTCACTCCCCGCACCTCTGGCCTACACCACACTTCTTGTATGCATAAATAAATAAAAATAAAATCTTTTGAAAAAAATTTGGAGAAGTAAAAAATTATCCAAGCTGTAAAACATGTCCTTTTTTTTTTTTTTTTTTAAAGTAATGCACTGCAGAGTATTTTCCTTGCTTTGGTGAGAAGTGTCACAGATTATAAACTTCTGCTTATCCAGAACAACTAACAACTTTTTCCCAGATTGCAAGATTTGAACATATATTTTTCTGTCCCCACCTGGAGCAAGAATTCTTTTGACATTTCTAACTAGATGACCTCCTGATTATGCTTGGAGATGTCCGGTACTATGCATCAGAGTCACAAAATATGCTGTGCCCTTCTGGATTACTGCTTCAGCAGATCTGCAGTGTGATCTGAGAATTTGTACTGCTAACAAGTTACCAGGTTAAGTTGAGGGTACTAGCACAAGCAACACATTTTAAAAGCTACTGCCTTAGATGTTCAACATTCATCCTTCACTAGCAAAGTCTAGTGTGCCTAGTAATCTTTGGGTATATGCCAGACATTGTTATTTGGAAATGTTTATAGAAATAATATGAGGTCTGGGATCATCTTTTTCTTCCAGAAAGAACTTGATTGTCTGGCCAGATACCTGGAGGCACTAACATTCCAGGGTCACTTTGATCTGATTTCAAGGCTTGAGGGTTTCTGAGCCATCCAGTTGCCCTCAACGGGGGCATTTACCATAGCCTTTTCCTTGGCTAGCCCTAAAGTCAGATTGTGACAACCCTAAACCCTTAAATTGTCAAAAGCGCTGCTCAGCATACAGTGCTTCTCAATCATCAAATACTTTCTGTAAAAGTCACTCCAAAGACCAGGTTGGTCTATCTAGATTGCCACCTTTTTCTAAATCTTGAATTAATGGTTCTTCATGATCTTCTCAACTTTATGGTACCTTTAAGAAGAAGATTTTTTAAACATTTATCCAGCTCTTCTAGTCCTCCATGGGTGGGTTGGTGTAAATTATTTAGTCTACTTTTAGCGGAAGTATCTACATTATTATTATGATATATCTGACACATTTGTTTTTTCATATTTCATAGTCATGCTATATTAATCTATCCTTTTTAAATTTTCTACGTGCTTGTTGGTTAGAAGGTTATTCTCATTTAGAAAGTAAATAAAACCTTTTTCTTCTAGGTTCCTAGGTTTTAATTTTTTACATATTATACTCTTTAGTTAAAATGTATTTTAGTGTATGATGTTGAAGCATAATCTTCATTTTTTTTTAAATTAAAATAGCTGACTGTTCTGAGCTAGCCTCTCTGTTCAGTAAGCCTTCTCTCCCCACTGATGGGAAATGTTATTTTCATAAAATACTATTATGAAAACTAAAATCTATTTCTAGCTTAGTTATTGGTTTCACTGTGCTGTTTGGCTTCATTATCACACTGTTTTAATTACTACTGTTGTATAATCCATCTTAATACTTGGTGCAGAAGTCCTCTGACATCTGCACTCTATTTCAAAATTTGCTAAGACATGCTCAGCAATGTATCCAGCTCTTTGCATCTGTCTGGACTCCTTACAAAAACAAACCCTTTTGGAATTCTCATTAGAATTTCACTTAACATATAAATAATTTGAGAATTGATACCTATAGTATTCATTATTCCTATCAAGGAACATGGACTGTCCCTTGACCATTTATTCCGTATTCCTCCCCACCTTTTTATTTTTTTTAAAGATTTATTTATTTATGCATACAGAATTGGGGTACAGGCCAGAGTGCAGGGGCTGTGAGAGGATTCACCAGAGACAGATAGGGGAGCATCACAAGCAGATATACAAAGTACACTGCTGAGGGGAGCAGCGGGCGAGAGAGGAGTAGTCTGCTGCGCCATGTGGGTCACCTCCCAGGACCGGGGATCGAACTCATGCGGAAGCAGCTGCCGCTAGTTTGCAGTGCTGAACCCTAACCTCTTATGCCATCAGGAAGAGCTTTTTCTCCCTTTTTTTTTTTTTTTAAAAGATTTATTTATTTATGCATATAGAACTGGGGTACAGGCCAGAGGCTCAGGGGCGGTGAGAGACTTCACCAGAGACAGAGTAGGGAACAGAACAGGCAGATTGACGAAGTACACTGCTGAAGGGAGCAGCGGGTGGGTCAGGAGAGGTCTGCCACACCATGTGGTCTCCTCCGGGGCAGGCGGGAATCGAACTCATGCGGAAGCGGCTTTAGATTCTCAGTGCAGTGCTTTAACCCGCTGCGCCACCAGGGAGGGCCATTTTTCTCCCTTTTAATTGAAGTAATAATGGGATTAACCCCATGAAGTATTACCACATTATCACACCAACTCACCATATCCCACCACCTTAGACAATTGTGCTTCCTTCCCTCTTTGTTCCTATCCTTCTCCTCCCCTCTAATCTCTGTAGTCAGCTGTCAAGGATTAGATTTTAAGCCATCTTTATCTGACTCTTAGTTTAGTTACATCATATTTCACACATTAGTGACACCATTCAGTATATTCTGTCTGTTTTAAATGTTGCATTCATAGTAAAGTTCTGTGAGAAGAAAAGAACAGTAAAGGTGGCAGTTGCTAATTCTATAAAATATTACAGCAAGGCTGATTGATCAAATCTTCTGGGCATCTGCTATATCTCAGGTTTAATGTCTGGTTCTGAGGATATCATGATGCAAGACACTGCCTGGCCTCAAGCAGCTAAAAATCTAATAAGGGAGGTTTTTTTTTTAAGATTTATTTGTTTATGCATACAGAACTGGGGTACAGGCCAGAGGTGCAGGGGCAGTGAGAGGATTCACCAGAGACAGAGCGGGGAGCAGAACAGGTGGACTGGTGAAGAACACTGCTTAGGGGAGAGCAGGGGGGTCAGGAGAGGTCTGCTGTGCCATGTGGGTGGGAAATGGAGAAGTTGTGCTGAAGTGGCTTTAGCTTCTTAGTGCTGTGCTTTAACCCGCTGTGCGACCAGGGAGGGCCCGGGAGATATAATTATAAACAAGTAAGGCAATGCATTTCTGTCGGAGACTCTTTGTCCCCGATCACAGATTATTGGGGGGCAGAACAGGCAGGGTCTCAAGGAGTGGCGTCGGGGAGCGCAGTAGGGTGGAGCTGAGCGCAGAAGAAGAGAAGGAAACAGGATGGAGAACAAGAAGGACCTGAGGAAGCCACATGGAGCAGCAAGCATGTGATGAAGAAACCGTGCTTGTTTCCTGACCCTGGTTAAGGCAGATGTGGGTGAGATACCTGTAGGGAGGTGACTATGGCAGTGTTTATATTGATTTTGATGTTGCTCTTTTCCTCCCAGATTTGTCTGACCATTTCTGACCCTTTTCCATGGGTCCCGGCCAGAAGGTGCTTTAGTCTAGTGGCAGCTTTCAGGCCTTGCTCTGGGCCAATCCCTTTTGGGTTGACTTTTGCTCACGAGGGGATGGGTAACTTCAGGTGTTTGATTTAGAAATTATATTCTTTGTGTTCTGTATTGTGTATTCACTGTATTATAGTCCCTTTTCATTAAAGTTTTATATATGTTTTGTCTTATTGCGGCGGATGGCAGAACCCACT